CTTGGTACCCATCAGCACTAGATGGTAAGAGCCTATTACTGAAGATGCTGCATACATGAACTGTAGCACAAATAAGGAGAAATCAAGCTGGTGCTGACTTCAAAGCTTTATCTCTACTGGCTAGTGTTCATAGTGCTGGAAGGTGCTATGCATGCTACCAGAAGGAAAAAATGATCATCAGTCTTAGCCAGCTATGAGTCCTGTGAACTACAATAACACGACCTGCCAAGAAATGCCTGCCAGTGCAATAGTGGCACAAATATTGTGGGAATAACCAGCCACTCTATAATTGGATTTAAGGTCCACTTCCTAGGATGGAGCCTATACCTGATACTGATATCAGGCTTAGGAACTTGAGAGTAGACAGGTCACAGGACATAGGGGAGAACCTAATACTAGTTTTCCACTAAATAGTTAAGGATACTTTATTAGTTTCTGAATCTGTATAGACATGGTCATAGTCACACATTATTTTTGTTATAATTTGTATAAAATTACTAACATTTCAGTATTTTGAAATATGTGAGCCCCTGTTTTCAGCGCTTTTATTAGTACAGTAGTAGCTTGTGAGGTACTAAGCAGTATTTTGAGAATTCTATGTGTATTGTGGAACACTTTATTTCTTCTACAGATTCTAGTATTATTAGTTCCACTTATTTCTACTTAAATAGAAACTTAAAAGGTGTTTTATTCATAATCACAACTAGGAAATGCTAGCACTAAAAATATACAGGGTAGCCTTCACATCCAGCCCTTAGCATTCTTAAGAGGTAGTGGGGGTAACTCGTGTGCGTGTGTTTGTGTTCAGTGTGAAGCGGTAAACGTTTCTAATTTAAAACTTCTTTTCTTCTTAGTCACTACTTTCAGTGGATGATGACACAGACAATCCAGATGATAGTGTATTTTACCAAGTACAGTCTCTCTTTGGGCATTTGATGGAAAGCAAGCTGCAGTATTATGTGCCTGAGAACTTCTGGAAGGTATTTCTACCAGTAACTTTGTGTAGGTTGAAGATGTTAGTTTGACAGTACTCTTTTCTAGTGATAATTCTTTTATATCTGAATCAATCCCTTTACTAAGAACCTATCAAAGAATTGGGTGTTCAACAAATTGGTACTTTAGAAATGATTGGAAGTTAAGAATAATCTGTTATTCAGGCCAGGTATGGTGGCACACGCCTTTAATCCCAGCACTCAGGAGGGAGAAGCAAGAGGATCTCTGTGAGTTCGAGGCCAGCCTTGTCTACAGAGCAAGTTCTAAGCCAACTGGGGCTATAGGGAGACCCTGTCTCAAAAATACCAAAAAAAAAAAAAAAAGAATAGTCTGTTATTCATAATTCCTGCAGATTTTCTTATCAATTTTGACTATTAAGATTCTTATTTTAACTCTTTAAAATGTTGATTCAAGGAGCTGCAGAGATGGCTCAGTGGTGAAGAATGCATGCTGCTCTTGCAGAGAACCTGAGTTTGGTTCCTAGTACCCACTTTGGGTGGCTTACAACCACCAGTAATGCCAGCTCCAGAGGGATCTGACACCTCTGGCCTCAGCAGGCACCCACTTCATTCATATATATATATATATATATATATACCTCCATACACATAATTTAAAATAAGAATAAAAATAAATCTTAAAATATTGGTTCAGTCTGGGCATGGTGGTGCACACCTTTAATCCCAGGACTTGGGAGGCAGATGCAGGCAGATCTTTGTGAGTTCAAGACCAGCCTGGTCTACATAGCCAGCTCTAGGACAGCTGGGGCTATGGAGAGACCCTGTCTCAAAAAGCCAAAAAAAATTATATTGGTTTCAGATAATTGCTTTGAATCTGTGCCAGTTTCACTAGAGTCTTTTTAGAACATTGCTTTTGGACGTTGTGTCAGAAAACAGAGTTACTTTGTGTTTTCCCCATAAGTTGGTTAGTTTCTAAGAGAAATTTGCTGTTCTATAGCCTGAGGGCTCACACTGTACTCACTTTCAGTTTCAGTGATTTACTGTGACAATGAGGGACCAAGGAAGTGCATCAGTAAAAATTTACACATCCTAATAGTGAACTTGTTTTTCAGAAGCACTGAAGTATATTCCTTATCCATTACATTTAGAAATTGATGCTTTCCCATTAAAAACAAATTTGATTCTTGCTGCATAGATCTTCAAGATGTGGAACAAAGAGCTCTATGTGAGAGAACAGCAGGATGCCTATGAATTCTTTACTAGTCTCATTGATCAGATGGATGAATATCTCAAGGTAATAAAATTTTCATGTTCTCTAACTCTCTGAGGCTAATTACAATATGAGAACAGTGCCTTAGACTCACAGTGACTACGAAACTAACAAATCAGAAATTAGTCATCTTTAACATCGCAGCTGCAATTCATTCTTTTGGGGTTTAAAAATGAAAACAGATCATTGAAATCATTCTTAATTCATCTAACTTGATAAAATATGTAGTTCTTAATCCATACTACATAGTAAATGATCATTCATACATTCGTTATTTTTGCTGTGTCCCTAAAGGTACTCTGTCTGACTCCAAAGTGCCTAGAAAACTGATGGTCCCCTAGAGGCAGTGTGGGAACTAAGAGAATTCTCCAGCAAAAGGGCTAGTAATGATTTTTAAAATCAAACCTTTCTGCCTTTCTCAGTGAAACATATGACAGACATCCCCAGTGACATCACTGCACATCTCACCAATAAGCACAATTTGTACATTACATTTCTTTACAGTAACTTTCAGATTTGTAGCATCTGTCCTACTAGAGATAAAAGAAGAGTTGCTTCTAACTTGCTACTTGTAAGCACAAGATGTTTTGGAGTCATGGTGGAGAATGTGTTCTTGTCATCAGCTCTCATAGACCATCTCTCCTTCTCCTTTTCTGATCACGTTCACAGTCCTGACATTGGGTCTGATAATGGGATATTAGCCTTGTATTGGTTTCTAGCTGAAACTACCAGAATCACCCTTATTTTGATAATTAAGTTGACATAAAATCCTCTATGAACCAAACTGTAAATTCTAGTGACATTGATTAAAACTTTTAACTCTTTATTCCAACAGAAAATGGGGAGAGACCAGATCTTTAAGAATACTTTTCAGGGCATCTATTCTGATCAGAAGATCTGTAAAGACTGTCCTCACAGGTTAGTGAAGATCCCCAGTACATTAAAAAAATGGCCATTAGGATCAGGTAATGTAGCTTCGTAGAGCATCGTAGGAGAAAATATTTTTAAATGATTTAGTAAGTTTTAAATGTTGTATGGCTTGCAGGTTTATTTCTCACTGAATCTCTGCATATTCAGTTACTTACATTTCTTTGGTTTCTGTTTCCATAATTTCTTTGTAGCCTTAAAATATTTATTGAATTTATAATTTTAAGCAGTTCTAAATTATCACAACTTGGTGTTTTTATTTGAGACTTGTGTTCATTCCACTAATAGTGAATGTCTTTCTGTGTTCAAGCTCAGCTATTCTCATAGTTTCAAAGGTTCTTCATTCATGAATTTTCCATTTCCCAATCAGATACGAGCGTGAGGAAGCTTTCATGGCTCTCAATCTAGGAGTTACTTCTTGTCAGAGTTTGGAAATTTCCTTGGACCAGTTTGTTAGAGGAGAAGTTCTAGAAGGAAGTAATGCATACTACTGTGAAAAATGTAAAGAAAAGGTATTAAATTTGCTCTTTACAAAAAACAAGATTATGGGTTACTTATGTACCATTTATAGGTGGTCACTATTAAGCTATAGTATATTAAGCTATAGTATATAACTACAGTATATAACTCTACAAGCACTATTAAACTTTACAAAATGCTGTTATACTCACCACTTTATTTTCTCCAGGGAAATAATTGTTTTTTTGCTTTTCCTTAGAGAATAACAGTGAAAAGGACCTGCATTAAGTCTTTACCTAGTGTCTTGGTAATTCACCTGATGAGATTTGGCTTTGACTGGGAGAGTGGACGATCCATTAAATATGACGAACAAATAAGGGTAACTTTTTCCTTCCTGAAATTTCTCAACCATGACCCTCCCCTCCTTCTGTTTTTACATTCTGTGTGCCCACTGAAAGGCTCCATCTAGGCTGCATGTGGAGTCTGCAGCCCTTGTCTTGAGAAGGTGCTGCTAGTAGGACAGTCACTTCTACAAATGGTGACCCTCATTTCTAGAAGGTGCACTAGTTATACTGTGAAGTAAAATGCTTTCTGTAACTTACAGACCAGAGGCTACTTGTGCTTGAATTGGAGCAGTGGCCTGTCCTCACTTAGGAAAATGTAACTCTGGCTTTACTAGGTGCTGCTGAGCATATTCTCAATCAACACTAATGTTTTCTTTTTGCTTTTACATAGTTTCCGTGGATGCTAAATATGGAGCCTTATACAGTCTCAGGAATGGCACGCCAGGATTCATCTTCTGAAGTTGGTGAAAATGGGAGAAGTATGGATCAAGGAGGTGGGGGATCCCCACGGAAAAAAGTTGCCCTCACAGAAAACTACGAGCTTGTTGGCGTCATTGTGCACAGCGGGCAGGCTCATGCAGGCCATTATTATTCCTTCATTAAGGATAGGCGGTAAGGGTTTCAAGGTTTCATAGGCGGTAAGGTTTCATGAGCAGCCCTCATGTGCTCTCTCCTTCCCTGCTGAACTCTGTCATTCATGCTCACCATTACAGAAGCTGGGGGAGGGAGAGTGGGTGAGACAGGGTCTCATAGTCCAGGCTGGTCTCGAACTCTTGGTCCGTCTACTTCCACCTCCTGAGGGCTAAGATTATGTGTGTAGGTCATGGTGCCCAGCAGTAAAGAAATTTTCACCCTGTCCTTGGGTCTGTATTAACTTTAAGCTTACTCTTGCCCCCCTCAATTCAATGTTGGGCTATTTTCACCCTTTTGGTTCAAAAATATGTCTTAGAAACTAAAGTCACTGTACTTTTGTTGCTGCATTTTTCTTAGACTCTGTCAAATGGCAATACCTATTTTACCTGTAGATAATACATAGAGATAAATGCAAGGGATGAGGGTGTTTGCTTTCTAATCTTACAATGTTTATCTGATCTCTGGATCCTAGGGGGTGTGGGAAAGGAAAGTGGTATAAATTTAATGACACAGTTATAGAAGAATTTGACCTAAATGACGAAACTTTGGAGTATGAATGCTTTGGAGGAGAATATAGACCAAAAGTTTATGATCAGAGTAAGTAGTTCTAAGTAGATACTTTCCATTTTTTTAAATATATAGTTTTCTATCTATATAAAATGCAACAAATTTTGTTCTCTCATAATATTCTTCTAGGTATAAAACCATAGCTCTTTGATAGACAAAATGCTTTAAAATGTTTTAAGATAATGGGAGCTAACATAAATCAAGAGGATGGAATAAGAGAAAAACTAATAAAAAATTTCAACATTTTTTAGTGCTTCAGAAGAACTAGGTTTTCATTAAAATGTTTGCATTTCCTTTTTACTTATACAGAAATATGATTACTTAGGTAATTCTAGTACCTGTGCTTTTGAAACCATGTTCGTTAGGTTGTGTAGTAGAGAAGCCTTTCCTCCATCCTCCCAAGGGATAAAATTATAAGGAAATGTATGTTACAAAACCTGGTTAGAATTTGTCATTTGAAAAAACATTTGGGGACTGGTGAGATAGCTCAGTCAGTAACGTACAAGATGGCCTTATAGCTCAGTCCCTAGACCCACATGAAGAAAAAATTTTTAATGTCTTATAAAATAGCAAACCCCTACACCGATGTGCGTCGAAGATACTGGAATGCCTACATGCTCTTCTACCAAAGGGTATCTGATCAAAACTCCCCAGTGTTGCCAAAGAAAAGCCGAGTCAGCGTTGTAAGACAGGAAGCTGAGGATCTCTCTCTGTAAGTCTCTGTAATTTACTGTGTGATTTCAGTAGGTATTAATGGGATCTTGACAATATACTTTTGGGGGTGTTAAGATAATTAGCTCAAGAGAAATTCTAAAAAAAAGAAAATTAAAATTAATAAAAAAAAAAAAAACTTGTTTCTAGGTGCTCCTGGGACTTTATTTCTCTGGAAAGAAGTTATCTTGCATTTAGAAATACTTAGCCATGCGTGGTGGCAAATGCCTTTAGTCCCAGCACTTGGGAGACAGAGGCAGGTGGATCATAGCGAGTTCCAGCTGGGGCAACAGAGAGAGACCTTGTCTCAAAAAAGACCAAAAAAAAAGAGAAATATTTACATACATCATTTCATTCAGAATTGAGATTGTAATTTTCAATCTAAACTTGAGATCTTTAAAACTAGAAAGGAGACCAAGAAAGGTGAATGTTAGGTGGTGAGGAAGGATAGAATGCAAGCTCAAGGCCACATGAGTTGTAAAGGAGGATATAAAGCTAACTGCTTTTCTAGTTTCAGCTCTCATGGGTTTTTCTTTTTTTATGGTGGATAAGTAGGTTAAAATGTAATTGACAGCAAAAGTGTAAAACTGTAAGCAAAGCTCCACAGCTTCAGAATGGCCATTCTAACTGTGTAAAAGCTCACTGAGCTGTATAGAGTTTGGCACTGGGCAAGTATTTGAATGACTACCTTAATCTAGCTGTGTGGTGTTTTTACTGATAAGTTCTTTATAGTTCTGTGATCTTATTTCTAATTAATAAATCAGTATGACAAAAACTTGATAGTTATGTATTGACTAAATACACTTTCTGTCCAAAGCATAGTACTGTCAGGAAGTGAGTTTTTTTAAAAGGCTATTGTCAGTGAATTTTCCTTTACTATATTAGACTAGTACACAGTTTATGTTTAAGTGCAGTACTATGGGTATGAGTATGACAAGTTTTAAAAACTGCAAAAACAAAAACCACTGATTCTGTCTCTCAGGTCAGCTCCATCTTCACCTGAAATTTCACCTCAGTCATCTCCTCGGCCCCATAGGCCTAACAATGACCGGCTCTCTATTCTAACCAAACTTGTTAAAAAAGGTGAGAAGAAAGGACTGTTTGTGGAGAAAATGCCTGCTCGGATATACCAGGTAAGAGCCATATAGACGATTCAAAGGGAGAAAATCAAGGGGAATGTCAAGTCATGTTGTATTGTCCAGAGTCCTGCCGCCTGCCTTCTCAATTTATTGTCCTTCATGTGCCTCCTCATCCCCCTCACTTGTCCTGTGTGTCTTCTGTGCCAGATGTGCAGGCTGTAGAACTAGCGCCATGGTGGTAAGAACACAAATATAGACACATTCAGGCTTTCCCAGTACATTGCTGAAATTTCCTCCTTTTATCTGGAAAGAACAAATCAAGACTTGTAGTCTTTGGTTAAGACTAGTACAAGGGGAAGGAGAATCTTTTTTCTTTTTTTCTTTAACTGTGTGGCCACTGGTAGATTTCCCAAGCTCCAGTGGATGGCACCACACCAGTACACATAGGAGAAGCTTTAATTGGATTTTGAGGGTTATCAAAAGAGGAGAGGAGAGCTGGAGAGATGGCTCAGTGGTTAAAAGCACTGACTGCTCTTGCAGAGGATCTGGGTTCAGTTCCCAGCACACACGTGGCAGTTAACAACTGTCGGCAACTCCAGTTCCAGGAGATCCACTGCCCTTTTCTGGCCTCCATGGGCACTCCATGTCACTCAAACACATATAGTGAAAACAAATTTTAAAAAAGAAGACATGAAGTTGGGAGGAGAAGTTGAGGAAGATTCGGGAAGAGGTAGAGGGGTGGGAATGGGGAGTGAATGTGATCATGTTTCCATTGTACACATATATGAAACACTCAAGAATAAAGAAAAATTCATACAAACCAAGGACTACTATACAGTATAACTATTGTTTATTGAATACTTGCTCTGTACTGCACACTTTAAACAAGTTCTAATTAATTAAAGCTTTAAATATACAATAGGCGATTTTATACCTGTTTTTCAGATGGAAAAAAAAATAAGGTTCAGAAAAAGTGAAATGGCCTTCCATTGTAACAGGGCAGGAATTTGAATTCAGGGCTATCTAATCACCCAGCCTGGACCTTATATACTAAACAACCAAAAGCTGAATAGACAGAACCAGAGAATTTCAGAAAAATGTAGAGTCTTTCATTAGAAGAAAGAGAACTGAGACATCAGAGCCAGGGAGGCATGGAATTGCTTGTACTTAGTAAAGCTCTGTTCTCCCGCCCAGAATTTCAGATTAGAATTCACTTGCTCCCTCACACAATGGCTTTCTGAATTCCCCAAAAGAGATTATTTATGAGTGGTAGTTCACCTTTCCACAGTGTCTTACATTTAAGAGAAAGATTTTCCTTCTCATTTTTTTAAGTTCAAAGCTTTAGAGCAGGTAGGTAATTGTAAATTATAATTCATTTTATAAACACTGCCTAAAGATTTCACTAGACATACCTTCCATATATCATTTTACCCCATTTGTTAAAAATTGTTGTAATTATAAATTTTGTTTTGTAGATGGTGAGAGATGAAAACCTCAAATTCATGAAGAATAGAGACGTGTACAGTAGTGATTATTTCAGTTTTGTTTTGTCTTTAGCTTCATTGAATGCTGTAAGTAGCTGATTATATTGTTACCCAAGAACTAAGAAATCAGTGACACCCTCCTCTTGGTTGTTAAAGCATTCGGATTACATGCAAAAAACAATTTCCCATAAATGTGTCACTTATGGGTGATATTAACATGCAGGCAGCTTCAGGATGTACAGTGTGCGTTCAAGTGGGTATGGGTTTCAAATTCTGGATTTTTAGACTTTGTGATAAATCTGATAGACTATGGAGTTGAAGCTGTGGGTCTTGTTACTGAACCCTGGGATTTATGGAGATCAACTTTTCCTAATTTGTAATCATATACTGCCAGACTCAAAATTGACTTTCCAGTACCTCCTTTGCTTGAGTACCTTTGTTATAATTTTCCCAAAAGGGCAGATGTTCTTTAACATCTTGTGATCTAAAAGCTCTATCCTCAGAGGACTTCATTTTTTAAAAAATGAAGAGAATATCTTTACTTTTTAAAAATTTAAATGGAAGCTAGGTGTGGTGGCCCACACCTTTAATTCCAGCTATCAGGAGACAGAGGCAGGCAGATCTCTGTGAGTTCAAGGCCAGCCTAGTCTACATAGTGAGTTCTAAGCCAGCTGGGGCTACAGGAAGACCCTGTCTCAAAAGAAGAAAAAAAAAAAATTAAATGGAGTATTTTCTATCACTGGCTGGGTTTTTCTGTTTGTTTCTTTATTTGTTTATCAATTTGAGACAGGATCTCATGTAGCCCAAACTGGCCCCTAAGACTTGCCATGTAACTGAGGATGACTTTGAACTGATCTTTCTATCTTCACCTCCTAAGTGGTAGAATTAGGGTTTTTTTTTCTATTATTTATCTTTGTTGTGTGTCATTATTCAATCCATGGAAATATATAATAATCTATTAAATTTCTGTGAACAGTATCTTCTTCTTCTTTCCTCCTTAGACTAAACTAAAGCACCCCTATTACCCTTGTATGGCAAAGGTGAGCTTGCAGCTTGCCATTCAGTTCCTTTTCCAAACTTACCTACGGACAAAGAAAAAACTCAGGTGAGAGTTGCGTTTTAATAGTCTGTTGTGATGTTAGGTACTGGTTAATTCAGTAAATAAATACACTTGTAAATTCAGATTTTCAGAATATCGTAGTGACTACCAGATGTTCTCAGCTACTAAGACATTGCCCCTATCTTTAAGAAAGGTTTAACAAGAAGGATAAACTAAAACAAAAAAGAAATTACTGTGATACAACCCTCAATTCCATGTGTCTGAGAATTGGGCAGCATTGTATCCAAGTAGAGATTGGGGTAGGTTTTGAAAACATCAATGCGTTCAGAGGATTTTGAAAGGCAGAAATTAGATCATTCTAGGCAGAATGACTAGTTAGGTATATTTTCCTGATACTTGTAAGGGACTCATTAAGATTAGTCATTAGATGCCAGAGTAAAAGCTGGGCTTAGTTCAGTGGAAGTTCACATAGGGGTTTTGAGCTAAAATATGTTCAGAGTGATATGTTAGGAATTCTAGACATCATTTGCATCTTATCACTGTTTTGCATTTCCAGCACCTGATAAGGTTTCTGGCTCATTATAGCTTCTGAGTCAGTAGTTGTTCTGTGCATAGATGACTGAAGGATAGAGAGAATTGAGCAGTAGTTTGTAGAAAATACCTGAGAAAGGTATTCTTTTCTCTATGACTAGCAAAGTGAGCTTCTTGAGTCTAGATTTGGGGAAAGATTTTGTTGTCAGACTCTGAGAAGAAGAAGAAAAAAAAAAAAACATAATGGCAGCTTCATTTTTTTGTGTCATAACCAAAGGTATATTGAGTGATGTCAGTATTAGGTGATTAAATAAAAAATGAATTTCTCTTCTTTAAGATCTGCATAAGATTAACTAGGGAAATTCATTTGGTAATTTTAAATTTTATTTGTGAAATTGACTCAGGGTCTACATGTTGCACATACTGTTTCTATTTTGTTTTTGGTTTTTGTCAGGAGATTATAGGTTAGGTATAGTCAGATCAACTTTTTTCTGCCCATGAAGCAGGATATTAATGATTATAGCAATAAGATAGAAAAACCATAAGCTATTCTGAAAGTGGGCCTTCGGTGATATACACTTAGCTGTGCTGAACAAAGTGCTACAGATCTGATCTATTTACCAGTTGAAGCTGACTGATGAAGATACAGAAGATAAAAATAAAGTTACATGGAGCTGGAGAGATGCTCAGCAATAAGAGCACTGGCTTTTCTTGCAAAGGACCTGCGTTCTGTTCCCAGCACCCACATGGCAGCTAACTGTCCGCAACTCCAGTTCCAAGGGTTCCAGTGCTCTCTACTGACCTCCACAGGCATTGCACATCACAGGTGCACTTATACACATGCAGGCAATACATTCATACGTGTAAAACAAAAAATAATAAATTTAAAAAATAAAGACATGTTTCTGTCCCAGGAGAGGAGAAGGAGTCAGGCCTGGGTGTCAGATCACTGAGCCATGTTAGTGGGCAGTCATTGAACATTTAACCTGCCCCTCTTTCCAGGCTACAGTGGAATAGGCAGACAGACAGATGTGACACCAGGAAACAATGCTTGAGGATTATTTGCTAGGACTAACACTGTCCACTTTTTTTTTTGATAGGGTCGATACTGAAGAATGGATTGCTACTATTGAAGCATTACTTTCAAAAAGTTTTGATGCTTGTCAGTGGCTTGTTGAATACTTCATTAGTTCTGAAGGGCGAGAGTTGATAAAGTAAGTATCAAGATCTTTTAGTGAAGAAATGTATGGGGGGGTTTTCCCTATCATTTCGAAATAAACTTCTTAAACTCTTTATATTAGAACTTGAAATCTTTTTTCAGATTGGAATCCATTTTAAGCTTTTCACAGAAGCAGTATGGAAATTAGGCCACTCCAAAATTATCTGTTGGACTAGACTAGCAAGAGTTAGCAATGGTTTAGTTACTACAGGGAGCGTACAGAAAGCAGGAAGAGTATAAAGTAATGGTCCACCTGGGGCTCACGGCATTTAAACCCTGAATGGCTGGACTCTAATGAAAAATTTACCTATAGTACATTTATTTACCTGTGTACCTATGATTAGAAAAGTAATTTGCTTTTCTGAAAAAGTTGAAGATGCTTCAGTCACTCTTAATACCTTACTCCCTGTCAAGCTCATGGAGTCAGCTTCCCTTTATCCTTGGCAAGTTCAGAAGAGCCCAGCCAGACTCTTCCATGTTAATGAGACATTGTCCTGCCTCCTTGGCCCCAGTGGGCTCTTCCTTCCCTCTGACTCAGCTCTCAAGCTTCTCATGTGAGTTCACCGTAAGCTTTTAATAGTGTGCTGATAAGGTGTCACTGAGAAAGTGATTAATAAGTGAGCACGCATCACATATGCCACACACCTGCCACAGCCTTCTCAAAATGAGTCTGTGCATATGCAAGCCTTCTCAAGGAACTTGGTCCTTTGATTAGTAGACCTTATTCCTTCATCTTTATCTTGTGAACTTTTCCATTGGGTCACTTCTTTCAGCATACAAATATGTTCTGGCGTTATTGAGCTTAAAACAGACACAGTAGGGAACTCAGAAATACAGGTCCCTTCCTGCTCAGGTGATATGTTAGAAATTTGATTGGATTTTTATTTGTTTATTTTTGTCTTTTTTGAGACAGGGTCTCCCTGTAGCCCCAGCTGGCCTGGAACTCACTATGTAGACCAGGCTGGCCTTGGACTCACAGAGATCCGCCTGCTTCTAAAAGGCGTGCGTCACCACTCCCGGCCGATTAGATTTTTATTTTATTTTTTATATTGCTGGAATCAAACCCAGGGCTTCATACATGTAGGCAAGTGCTGTATCACTGAGTTACATCTCAGCCCTGATCAGAACTCTTTTCTTCTTTTCTTTCTTTCCTTCTTGTAGCCCCAGCTAGCCTGGAACTGGCTATGTAGACCACAGAGATCCATTTGGCTCTGCCTTTCCCTAAGACTAAAGATGTACACCACTACATCTGGCCATGATCAGAACTCTTAAGCTCATATTTCCTCCACCTCTCTGTCTGAGTTCCAAATATTCATTTGCCTACTTGATATCTCTTTTCTGTGAAAAATTAAGTACCCTTTTGAAACCAATTAATAAATGACTTTCTCTCCTGAAATTTTTCAATAGATCCCCATTACACTATAGTAGAATCTGAAATCTACAATTCACAAGGCCCTACCTTTGCTTTCCTGGCTTGTGGTACCACTTCCTCCAGCCTGTCTTTCTGGGTCACTGAACACACTAAGTTTTTTTTTTTTTTTTTTTACCTGCCTAAAGCTGATTATAGACACATAATTCTTTATGTCTGGATTACTCCCTCTGCTCTTGGCACAGTAATTGCCTTCTGCTCCTTCACATGTCAGCTTAGGTAACATATGTTCAGGAAGGCCATTGCAGGTCATCCAGTTGGAAGTGGGTTTGCTCTACTCCTTACAGTTTTGCCTGTCTCCAACTGAATTTCAGCTTCTTAAGGACAGAAGGCAAGTCTCCTGGTTCCCTGCTGTGCACAAGGAGCCTGGCACATAACACACTCCAACATTTGTTCATGCAGGCATGCATGCATATGCATTTGAGTCATGAAGAAAAAATGAATAAGGACTTCTTTTTTTTTGAGGCAGGGTCTCCATGCAGCCCCAGCTGGCCTAGAACTCACTATGTGACCAGGTTGTCCTCAAGCTCACAGAGATCTGCCTGCCTCTGCTTCCCAAGTGCTGGGACTAAAGGTTTGTGCCACCACACCCGACCAGTAAGTACTTTGAAGAGGTACATGCCTGTCCCTTTAGAGTTAGCAGTAGAGATAACCTTTCACTCGATTTTTCTATTTTAGTTAGAACATATCTGTATCTTCCCAGTAGAACTCCCAAGTACTGTGCTGGGTGTTAGAATGTCGAAGAATGATTATCTATTTGGAAAGAGCATAATTCAACACCCTAAACCAAGGCAGCCATGATTTTTAATATTTTCTGAGAAACTGGCTTCCTTTGGTAGTAGTTCTTAGTATTCCTAATGTCCAGAATCCCAGTGAATTACCTAACCTTTTTAATAAGGCCTAATTACTCAAAATTGCTATGAGTCGATATGTTTAAAAAATTAATAACACAGGCTAGGTGTGGTGGTGCACACCTTCAGTCCCAGCACTCAGGAAGCAGAGGCAGGTGGAGCTCTGTAAGTTCAAGGCCAGCCTGGTCTACATAGTGAGTTCCAGGCCAGCTGGGGCTACAGGGAGACCCTGTCTCAAAAAGACCAAAATAACAATAATAATAATAATGTTTTTTCTTCACTTTCTTTAGAACCTTCAGGATATTTTGTATATGTATGTGTATGTGTGTGGGTACACATGTGTAGGTAGTTGCACATGTGTGGCCTTGTGTCCGGGGGTCAGAGAACAAGCTCGAGTCATCCACCTTGTTTGTTTGTTGTTGGTTTTTTTTTCATTTTATGTGTATGAGTGTGTTGCCTGCATGTTTGTGAGTGCACCTGTGTTGTGCAATGCTGCGGAGGTCAGAAGAGGGCTTCAGATTCCCCTGGAACTAGAGTTAAGGACGGTTTGTAGCCACTTTGTGAGTGCTGGGAATCGAACCTGAGACCTCTGCAAGAGCAGTCAGTGTTCTTAACCGCTGAGCCATCTCTCCAGCCCCTACCTTGTTTTTTAAGACAGTGTCTTTCATTGGTCTGGGACTCACCGATTAGGTTAAAATGTCTGGCCAGGGAGCCACAGGGATCTGCCTTGTCTCCACCTTGTAATCCTGGCACTAGAATTAAGGGTGCTCCATCACACCTGACCTTTTTACCATGGGTTCTGGGAATTGAACTCAGATTCTCCTTCTTGCACGGCAAACACTTCACTGAGCCATCCTTCCAGTCTGTAGAACCTTCAAGATATTTTAGTTTATCATTATTGCTCTAACTAAAATGCATGTACTTGGGGCTAGAGAGATGGCTCAAGGTTAAAAGCACTGGCTGCTCTTGCAGAGAACCCAGGTTCAGTTCCCAGTAACCATATGGCTGCTAACAACTGTAACTCCAGTTCCAGGGGATCCGTTACCCTTTTCTGACTTCTACAGGCACTGCAAAACATGGATTCACTTACATACATGCAGTCAATACAGTCATACACATAAAGAATTTTTTTTTTTAAATAAAAAAGTAAAAATAAAAAAAGGAGAGAACCAACTCCTGAAAATAGTCCTCTGACCCCTACATGCAGACTGTTGTACATGCTTGCCTGAACACACACACACACACACACACACACACACACACACACAATGGCTAGATATCCTAATCTAAAATTACCAGGAACAAAATATTTTAGAAATTCTTTAAATTGTGGGGTATTTGCATGTATATGATATATCTTAAGGATGGGACCCAAATACAAACATGAATTTGCTTGTGTTTTATGTAAACAAATTATATAGTCTGAAGGTAATTTTATGCCATATTGTTAATCATTTTGTACACTATAAACAGTTCCATGCTATGGAATTTTCTGCTGGTAACATGTCATTGTTTTCAAGTTTTATGGCATTTTGGATTAAGGATGGTCAGCGTGTGCTAATCTTTCTGAAACTGAAAGTGTGAAGATGATGATGTTATTCAGATCATCACCTTGTGCTAGGTTTTGTTGTTTGCTTTGGGCAGTTTTTTAAATGGAAGTGGGTTTTTTTCAATTAATAGTAAATATTTACAAGTTGATCTATCAAAATTTAAACTACTCACATGAAAGATACTCTGCATCCTTTAAGGACTTTCTTATTATGGACATTTATAAACATACATAAGGTATGGAGAGTAATGAACTCTGGGATGCACCCATCCCTACCTCAGGTTGTCACCATTTTGCAAAGCCCTCTCTTAACCTGTCCCAGTTCTCACTCATGCACAGGCCTTTTCTTCTCCTGTTTGAAAGGAAATTTCAGACATGTAATTCACTATAATTTTTCCGCATATGTGTCTATAAAGTAAAAGGCTTTTTTCAATTATCAAACCAAACAAAATTAATAACACCTTTATATTTTCTTGTGCCCTATTCATATTTCCCCTCCAAATATCTTAGAAATGTCACCTTACCACAGTATTTTTACAAATCCAGATCCTATAAGCTTCAGGCATTGTCTTTGGTTTACATGTCTCTTAAAACTGTTCGTCTTCAGTACCTCCTTCCCCACTTACTTCTCCTTCTTTGTCTTACTGTTTATTTTGGAGGAGACTGGCGGCTTGCCTAATAGGACCCCCCCACATTCTAGTTCTACTCGTATTCTCTAGTGTTACAATAGGAAACATACAGAATTCCTCAGTAGGTATTCTCTCCAACAAAGTTTTACCTTAATCTGGTTAAACCTTGGTGTAAATATTGAACCTTGGTGTTAAATATTAAATATGTTATCCTTTAGATCTTTTTTTTAAATTTCTACTTAGAGGCATGCAACATAATAGTATGTGGAGGAAGCCATAGTGGAGTGACTTGGGGAAGCCCCACTTGCCTATGAGTAAGGTCCAAATCTCTAGGGTTCTTGAACTAGTACTTCTGAGTCATTTTGCTTTGTGGCTGTTAGATTGGAAGTATGTAGAGCAGGGTAGGTTACACCAGTCTATCCTTTTTTTGTATCATGTTTCTCTTTGTTTTAGGATTTTCTTGTTGGAGTGCAGTGTGAGAGAAGTACGAGTCGCTATGGCCACCATTCTGGAGAAGACCTTAGACAGTGCCTTGTTTTATCAGGATAAGGTCAGTCTCACTTGTAAAATTTTATTTATGCATTGTTTTTTACCAAACAGTCTCAGTTCACATAATAAGAAAGAGACCTAGGATTGCCTCATGGCATGCACCCTTCTTGAGTGTCGTTCTGATACATTCCAGGGTAGAAGGCATTCTGTCCTTTCCTTCCTATATTCTAGAAACCAGGATCAATTAAAAGGAGTTCAGATCTGCTTTTCTCTTCTTCTTAGAATTTTTCTCTCCAAAATACCCTGGCCAGTCTTCTCTCAAGAGCTTGTGTTAGGTCTCTCTAAACTGAGACTAATTGAAATCTAGACCTGCCAGTCTACACATTTTGAGCCACCCTTGGCTTCATCTGTTTCCTCAGAAGCTATTTTCTGCTTTTGGCAGCAAACCCAAATAGTGCCATCCACCCCAGGGTACTGCAGAATAGTCTTCACAGTCTCCATTGTTGCCTGAGCTTTGTTTCTAGCCCTCCAAATGGTTTTCTTCTTCCTGAACTTATTTTCTGCACTTGTATCTTTGGAATCATAATTCCACATACACATGTGATAAAACAAACTGGTGTTTATTCCCATCTTTAGTCCCCAAAGATTTCACTCCTTGGGGAATAGGTAGTCATTTTAAGTCCTGTTATTCACTGTTACTAAGTCTTAGCAAGTACAGCAGCTACTTCCCAAGTTGGCTGTTTCAAACAGCTGACACTACATGGAAAACTTTGAAAAATATTGTTTTTAGAACAAATTGGCTCCTCACAAACATTGGCTTAAGGCATTGTGCCTCAGTGAACTACAGATTCTAGGAATTACTGCTTCAGTTTCAGATGTTGGCGTTGCTATGCAACCTTGAGCATTCCTTGAAGGAGAATTTTCCAGATACAGTATCTGGCACCCAAACACTAGTTCCCCACTGTTGCTTATCCCAGGATACAGTGTTAGACCAGACAAGCTCAGGAGCATTGCTGAGTCAGAGAAACAGGAAGCAATGGAACAAGAAGTCACATATGCCATTTCAAAAGGTCCTAAAAGGCTGCCTCTCAATTCCAGAGTCTTTAAGAGATTGAAGTATATTATGAGGCAGTAGTTTTCTCATAGCTTAAACAGCAGAACCTTGCATCAAGTAAAACTCGACTGGGTGCAGAATTTCTAAAGTAGGTCATTAGGAGCTGCTTCGGAGAGGCTGAATACCATTGCTCTGAGATACTCCTGTGGCAGCTTTCTTAGATGCCTCAAGAATGCTTAACATAAGGACTATTTTGCTCTCCTTCCTCCCCTTTACTGACCAAAGGCAAAAAGGCAGGTTAGTACAGTCTCCCCACAGAATGGGTCAGGCCATAGTACCCCACCAACCTTTAAAACAGAAGAGTAGGTGGTGGAAGAGCGGGGAGTGGAGGATACAAGCATGGAAGAAGCCACTTGCAGAAGTCAATTCTATTTGATACCCAACTGATGTATTTTTATGTCTGTTTTCCCCACAATGGAAATTCTGCCTCTGGCCACCCACTATATCTATATTGTAAAGTACTTTGAAAATGAAGTGCTGTGTAAGTGCTAACTTTTACTGTATTATAATGGGTGTGACAGGATGGATGGGGTATTCTGGAAGTCTGTGAATACCATCTTCAGAGGAATGAACTATTAAGAGTAGTAAGCCTGGTCTTAATGCTTGGATAACAGATGAATTTTTAGGGAGTTGTCCAGAAACAGTTGTGGTGGGAGGGGACGCAGAAGCAATGTCATAACCAAAATGGTTTCTAAATAAATAAAATGTTTTTCAAAGCTTTCCATGAGGCGTCAGCGGGCTTTCAAGTAAGTTCCTAGTTGAGTCGGTATTGCCGTGTCATTTGTCAGGCTGTTGCTCTCCATTCGCTCCATCGGCTTGGTTTCTAGCCCCTCTGCCTGTGTCTGTGTTTTATTCTCTGCATCTGTGACTGTGAAGAAGCAGCCTCGTGGAGGGAGGGATTCAGAAATCCATCTCCCCTGAGTACTCCACCTTTCTGTAAGACGCAGAGAAATTGGCTCTGGAGAGAAATGTCACTGCTAGGCAGTAGGATCATGCCCTGGACTCTGCTATCTAGGAACTAAAACTAGGCTCCCCATTAATTCTACAACGATACCAATATTCTCCTGAAAGGTAAAATAATAATTCTGTTTTGCTCTCCAAAGCATAAATCCATCTAAATCTGAGACTGGATTGTATCAGTTTCCCTTTGTTCTTATGGTGGTTTACTTCAAATTAATCCTGTGACAGGTGTCTGTCTTGCCTACTTTTTCTTTATTTAATTTCCTCTTTCCTCTAACCAGTTAAAAAGCCTTCATCATTTACTGGAAGTACTACTTGCTCTTTTGGATAAAGATGTCCCAGAAAATTGTAAAAACTGTGCTCAGTACTTTTTCCTGTTCAACACTTTTGTGCAAAAGGTAAATGTTTTTTAGAAATATTTTCCTAATATAGCAGATTGAATCTAAAGAAGTTCTATACATGGAAAAATATTAGATTATATTCTAATTATATTCTATTTCTTCTTAAATTCAAATTAATGGATTATATTAACTGCAGGAATTTTCATATATGTAGGTGGAAGTCGGCATTAGTAGTTTTGTGTAGCCATTTTGAAGTAGTATGAGACTCAAGAGATAACAGGCAACAGGCACTTGCTATTTATGAATTTTAACATTGACTTCTTAAAACTTATCATCTAACTATACTTTTAAAACAAGGCTTTTGTCTGGATAGGAGCATAATTTGTCATTTTCACTGCCTTATGACAGCAAGGTATCAGGGCTGGAGATCTTCTTCTGAGACACTCGGCACTGCGACACATGATCAGCTTCCTCCTGGGCGTCAATCGACAGAATCATCAGGTAATGACTGCCTCACATTCTCAATGAGATGGCACTGGATGTCTTTTTTTTTTTTTTCTTTTTGTAGGGGATAAATATTCTTAATTTCATTAAGTTCTAGATACTAATGCTATATAGCCTTTAAAATTCCTTGGAGGTCTGTTACTTTATAATTTTTTCATTGAATTTACTCTGATAATCACCTCTGGAATTGACTAAAATATCAGTCACAATGTGAAGTATATCAATGGGAGGCGAAGGTACATTCAAACAGGGGAAGAGTAGGTTCAAAAGACCAAGGAATAGGTGGCCTTGGGTCTTCTCCTTCCTTCTCTGGGGCTATGAATCTTGAGGGTGATTGGAATTCACTTGTGAAGTTGGGCTGCTAACTGAATGAGGTTGCAGTGCAGGGCTCTTAATCAAATGCAAGGAACATTTTAGTTCCTAGAGCATTGTTTTATAATAATAGGGCTGGATGTGGCCTCACATGATGTCTTAGAAATTCCTATATTGACATTTTTCCTGTCCATATATTTCTTTTGTTTGATAGATTTTAAATACATAAAATGTCAACATCCAGTGATGGGAAGTAGAATGCTTGTGTACCAGGCACAGCTGGTCATTTTGTGGTGATACACTATGAATACTCACAGCTCAGTAAAATGCTCAGACACACACACACACGCACGCACACACACACACATCAGAATTTAAGCACAGCCGTGCTAAGATCACAAAACAAATATGTTGGAACAGTGATCTAGGTCCAGCTCTGAGAATTTCAGAGCATGAGCCTTTCTGGTATGTGCTGTGCATTGCATGGTCAGAGTTGTCCTTTGTTGAAGGGAGACGCGCCACCTAGGCTACTAGGTTTCTCTGGGCTTCCTGTCACATCACTGCTTCTATTACTCCCCAATAGGATAAACCAAGTACTGACACTGTAACGTGCTCTAGTGTCATGTATTAAGATTTACAGTACTCCTTTTCCACTTAAGACTCATCACAGGCACTCTATTGATTCTGGTGATTGATTTGAATGTGTATTTGTGCTGCATACACAGTACTCTTGCATTTATAGAGCACACTAGTGTCAAATATTTTCATTTTTAATATTTTACTTGGTCCTCAAGATCACAAAGTGGACAGAACAGTTAACATTATCTATGCCATGACATGAAGAGGTCAGATACTATTATGGAGAATTTACCAATTTATACAGTCCAGTAAGTGGCTATAGCAGGACCAGGCCTCTCATCCCCCAGCCACAGGGTTTTCCCATGATAATGAAGCTTTGGAAAATTATCTGGCATGTATTGAACATGCCAAACCTAAACTGTATACTTGAATACTTGAATGGGTTGATTTTAGAATTTCCCCTATTGTGCCTTGGGGGGGGGGAACAGACCCTTTGAGATACCTTAAGACCTGTGTCTTTTTTTTTTTAATATTTTACTTATTTTTATTTTATGTGTATGAGTGCACTCGTGTTGTGCAATGCCGCAGAGTTCAGAAGAGGGCTTCGGATTCCCCTGGAACTGGAGTTAAGGACGGTTTATAGCCACCATGTGGGTGCTAGGAATCGAACCCGGGTTCTCTGCAAGAGCACTCAGTGTTCTTAACCGCTGAGCCATCTCTCCAGCCCCAAGACCTGTGTCTCTTTATTTGTTGACCTTTTCTTGGGCACTGAGAAATAACATGATCTAGTAAGTCACTAACTCCCACATAGAACAATAGCATGTTTTATCTTCTCCGATGACAGATACGCCGATGGAGTTCAGCACAAGCACGGGAATTTGGGAATCTCCACAATACTGTTGCATTACTGATCTTGCATTCAGACGTCTCTTCTCAGAGGAATGTTGGTAAGATTGACCATCTCTTCCATACATCAGAAACATGAAGAGACACTACTTTTGTCTAGCATGTAAAGTACTAATCTTAGCAAATGAATGGATAGTGCTCATTTCTCAATTGACTATTTGGTATTTGAAATACAATTAAAATTTTTGTTTCAATTGATTCTAAGCCTTACCTTAGTTTATCACAAAAGAAGGTAAATTAATCATTTATTTGTAGGATGGAGGAGGAAGAGGTTTATTTTAAAGCATTTTAAGATTAAAGACTAATTCAGAGTTCATTCATCACCATAATGTGAATAATAAATATAATAGGAAAAATAGCCAAGAGGTGGGTCATTGTCTCATAGCTCTATGAACTTGACCAACTCACCTGACCTTCTCAATCCTTCATATAAAATAAAAATACTTGAAACACAACTTCCCAGGTGTAGTAAGGATTCATTAGATAAACTACCAGAGTACTTTGTAAAAGCAAAGAGGGTTCAGAGGTGAATTAGTGAACCTATATTTGGATATAAGCTAGAATTGGTAGCATTCCCTATTTTGTCACCCACCAATAGCACAGTCTCAAATATACTGTTGTCCTGTATGATTATCCAGTATTCTAACCGCACACTGAGTCCTCTGTATACTCTTCCTAGGCTTTGTCCTGACAGTCGCACAACAGTACACAAAGCAGCTAACTGTATGAGTGTTTTTTGTGTGCTCTGTTTCTACATAGGAGTTTGCCCCTTATGGGTTCAGTCGACTTTAGTATAGATTGTGTTTTGCAAGCAACTATTTGAAGAACAAAAGTAACTTGTCCAGTGTCTCTTTGGTAGCAGCTTTGGCTACTTTTTCATAGATAGAGCTGAGGCATATTTTGAAAGAATTGGATATTTTCTCCTGTCTAACACAGCTCATTCATCCAGTAGATTAAAAGATGAAGTTGTTAAGAGCTCAGTAATTGTGCCAGTCCTGTGGGTATCAATTTAACAATATCAAGTGAGACAGGTTTTGTTTTGTGTTTTGCTTTTTTTGATCTCCTAAAGCTCCTGGCATATTTAAACAACGGCCACCTATCAGTGTTGCTCCCTCCAGCCCTCTGCTGCCCCTCCATGAGGAAGTAGAAGCCTTGTTGTTCTTGTCTGAAGGGAAACCGTACCTGTTAGAGGTATGTAATTGCTGGGCTGAAGTCATTTTTATGTTATCTTCTATCTAAAAAAAAAAAAATCCTTTTGTTACCATGTTTTTGAAGTTACTCTGGTGAAGTGTTGTTAGGAGAAGAAATGATTCTTTTGTATATATGTGTCAAAAAGAAATAATTTGAGATAGGGGTATAGCTGAATGACAAGCACTTGACTAGCATGTGTAAGACCCTGAGTTTCATGCTCAGCACTGTACAGATGAATGAATGAATTTGTTCAAGTGGATATTATTCATCCTTTCTTCACACAAGAACTAGACTTCCAGGTCCAGGCTAGGCAGTTACCCCTAAGACCCAGAAGGTAAATGACAGCATTATCAGAGGGTTTCATTCATTGTCCCTCGCCCTAAAATAGTGCAGCCTAGAATGGCATGTGTTTGAACCTCAGGAATGCAATTGTGGACTGCTCCCAGGCCTGCACAGGGCACACGCTGTATGGCATATCTTCAGCCAAGCCTGCTCAGAACCACTTCCTGTGGATTCTGTCTTCCAAAACCTGACTTTTACATGTAGATGAGTTTCTGAACAACGTGTTCTAGTGATTTTTTTTCCTATTGGTGATTATTTTAACCTTTCATGAAAATGTTTACCTTTGTGATTTGATGATGACGACTCGTTAGAGAATTAAAAAGTACATGTTTGTACAGATTTATATAAAATGTCAGATAGTCTCTGACACCCTGAAATCTGTCCATGGGCCTCAAACAAGAAATCCTGTTCTAGGACAGGGTTGTATTCTTGATTTCTGAAAATTCAGTGAAAACTAGAACAGCAGACTGCTAACTATCCCTTAGAGAAGTCCTCACTCCTTTTGTGTCCTCCCACCAGGTCATGTTTGCTCTGCGAGAGCTGACAGGCTCACTCCTGGCACTCATTGAGATGGTGGTGTACTGCTGCTTCTGTAATGAGCATTTTTCCTTCACGATGCTGCATTTCATTAAGGTATAACTTCAGTCCAACCTAGTGATAGCTGATAGCATTCTGTGCGAACCCTAAGAGAGCATTCCCTTTTTCCCAGCAATATGCTACTTTTATAACATTTTTCATATTCATGAAAATAGTATTGTGTTAATTTTTGAAGAATTAAGAAAAGAACTTGTTAATTCCATTATTCAGTGATGATCACCAGGAACATTTTAACTTATCCTTTATTATTTCCTTTTATTGTCTATCCATGCATTTTAATATAATTGAAGTTTTATTAACTTTATAATTTGTCTTCTTTCATTTGATGTTATATTTTCCTGTCTTTCTCCCTTTGTATATCATGATTTATTTAACTGTTCTTTTCCTAGTGATGAGCCATTTGCATATGGTTCAATTTTGACTAATTAAGAACAATACTTTAATAATACTAATACTATTAACCATTATTGGGTGAAATTATTTTGTAATTTTAAACTATTTCTCCACACAGTGACATAAAAATCAAAAGTAGGGTTTTCTCATCTTCTAAAATAGTGATATAGGGACTGGACAGATGGCCCAGCAGTTAAGAGCACTGGCTCTTCTTGCAGAGGACCCAGGTTCGATTTCCAGCAACACACATAGCAACTAACAACCACCTGTAACTCCAGTTCCAAGGGATCCAACACCCTCTTCTGGTCTCCCCAGGCACTGCATGACATGGGTATACTTACATGTAGGCAATATACTCATACACATAAAATGAAAATAAATAAATCAAAAAAATTATCAAAACTACAAATAAGCGCCAGAGATGGTAACACACGCCTTTAATCCCAGTACTCAAGAGGCAGAGGCAGGTGGATCTCTATGAGTTCAAGACCAGCCTCGTCTCCATAGTGAATCCAGGCCAGCTGTGGCTACAGGGAGACCCTGTTTTCAAAAAGACCAAAAAAATAAAAATAAAAGGGGGTTGGAGAAATGGCTCAGCGGTTAAGAGCACTGACTGCTCTTGCAGA